CAAATCTTTGCATATTTTCCAACAACACTTACAACACTATAAAGACGTGCAGAAAAGAAACAGTTTCTCTTCAGGTGGTGATATGATTTGTCTTATTCTGTTTCCCCCTTTTTTTATTTCTTCTGTGGAAAATTCATAGGTAGAAGTTATGACACTGGAATTCCCCAGATTGTTTCCTTTCTGAGAGGCTTTGGACCTTTGTGATTTAGCAGAGATATGTTTAATCCCTAGGGAGCTAAATTTTTTGAGACCCAAGAGGCATGAGTACAACTGGAAGAATGTGATCAGTCACCACATTGTACACATGTATATTGTGCTATGTATATTCTCCACAACAAATCATTAAGAGTTGGGGTTTTTTCCCCAATAAGAGTTTTCAAAGAGAAATAATACTGCTTTTCTGTTACTCACTAGCAAAAACTCTAGTGCTAAAAACCAAGATTTAAAGTCTTAAGTGGTGGTGGTTATGTGCCGTGGAGTCAGTTCCAATTCATAGTGACCCTGTAGAGGGTTTCTGAGGCTGTAAATCTGTACCGGAGCAGAAAGCCTCATCTTTCTCCCATGGAATGGCTGGTAGTTTTGAACTGCTGACCTTGAAGCTAGCAGCCCGACTACAGTACTAGAGCCTAAAGTAATCCACTACAATTGTATCTTTTTTCTTTTCTCCAGTGAGGCATCTATGACACTTTTAACTAATAAACATCTCATAACCATTCAGTTGCATCTTTGCTCTAAAGAGGTAGAACTTGGCAGTAGCACCAAAACTCCCGCCTCCTCCTCTGGTTGTCTTGTTCAGTACTTTTATCATATTTGGACCATCAAGAAAGTGATTTTCTAGAGATGCAAAACACTGACTGGTAGTTGTTATCATTATTCTACCAACTGAGAACTTCAGGCGAAGTTACCTCTCATGGAGTCAGTGTTATTTTTGTTGTTAACTGCCGTGGAGTTAGTTCTGACTTATAGCGACCTTCTACAGAGTTTCAAGGAGCAGTTGTGCACCAACTTTGTGGCTCTAAACCAGCCTTGCAGCCCAGTGCTTTATCTCACAGCTCCACACCAGGACTCCATGGAGTCAATGTGAGTGGGTTAAATTAAAGCTTGTAAACAGGCTGAAGACCATACATGATGGGATGGTTATATCGTCTCAGCACACCATACATACCTTCCCAACTTGAAAGCTCCCAGGTCAGCCATGTGATTTCCATAGCATTGACCTTGAATGATAGTAACTACTCCTCCCCCTAGTGTGATGCTATAGGATAAGCACTGCACTGTGAGTCACAAGGCCGGCAGTTCAAACCTACCAGCTGCTCCTTGGAAACCCTGTACAGGGTCACTATGAGTTGGAACCGACTCAACAGCACTTAACAACAGCTGGGACTACTACTGCCACCATTTGGAGGAGTCCTGGTGTAGAGCTGTAGGATAAGCACTGGACTACTAACCGCAAGGTTGACAGTTCAAATCCAACAGGCCCTCCATGAAAACCCTATACAGGGTCACTATGAGTCAGAACTAACTTGATGGCACTTAACAATAATCATTTGGGGGATTAAAAAAAAAAAAAAGCCAACTGAAAAAAGAAAAATATCCTTACATGTCAATGCTTTATATTTATTATATTTTTCTGTGTTTGTAGAAGATTCTGGTCCAATACCATGTGTCATTGAACCATATGCTATCTAAAGTCTGTTGGTATGTGAGTTACTGTGTTGAACCGTAGAGTCCCTGGGGAGTGCAAACAGTAAATACAACTGATTACTGCCTGAAAAGCTGGAGATATGGGTCCACCCGGTGATACCTCAGAAAAAAGACCTGGCGATCTGGTTCTGAAAAATCAACCATTGAAAATCTTGTGGAGCACAGTTCTTCTCTGACATACGTGAAGATACCATGTGTTGAACTGACTTGACAGCTAGCTAGTAGTTAGCTGGTTCGATTGAACATACAGTTCAAAAATTCTAATGGGAAGGGACTTACAGATAGGAAGGAGGTGGGGGAATCTTTAGCCTCCATATATCTTTGATGCATACAATCAAAACCAAACCATGGGAGTTCAGAGCAAAAGTGAGCAATGATATATCCAAGATCAACTTTGGAGTCATTTTCACTGTTTAATTTCTATACGCAAGTCATCTTTCTTCTAGTTTTAAATAAGGCAGTTGCTTTGCTGGTTTCTGTGCTTCTGAATAGGCATAACTTTAAAGTCTTTCATCTGGGCGTTTATTCATCTTAGCTTTCAGTCCTCTTTCAAAATTAATTTGACTTTCCTGTCTAGTTATTTAGGACTCCCCAGGGCTAGGATTCAATCATACTGTGGGAATTCTGATTTGACAAATAGCCATTGTATATAGAAGCCTTTGATCCTCTACCAAGGTGTTAACTAGCAACCTCTTGTACTGAGCTGTGAGCAAGAGATCAAAGTCTGCACACCCATACAAAGTGCTTCATGGTCAACACAGGAGAATCCTTACTTCCAAGCTAGCCTTGGAGCTTGGAGTCTTCCCAAATATTTATCAATATAGACAAATTGGGATCACGTAGAACTAAACACAGAACCTAAAACCAAATCCGTGGCCGTTGAGTTGATTCTGACTCCTGATGACCCCACGTGTGTCTGTGTACAACTGTGTTCCACCAGGTTTTCAATGACTGTGATCACCTGGTCTTTCTTCTGAGGCTCCTCTGGGTGGACTCGAACCTCCAACCTTTCAACTAGCCGTCAAGTGTATTAACATTTGCACCACCCATGAACACCATAAACAGAAGATGGGATGAATTTTCCCCCTAGGCTCCTGGGTTTTTTTTCCTGTGCTTTTTGGTGGTATTGAGTGTCATGAAGCCCCTTAATCCCAAACAGGAATTCCTGACTGTGGTTTCCCAACCTCTGAAACCTGCTTAGTTTTTCTAGAGTTCAAGTATTATAATAAAAAAATAGTTTTAATTCATCTTCATTTTAAAAAGGAGCCATGGTGACACTATGGGTTAGGCATTGGACTGCTAACCCAAAGTCAGTTGTTCAGTCCCACCAGCCACGCTCGGAAACCTCCCTCTATAGGGTTGCTGAGTTGGGTTTAACTCAGTGGTAGTGGGTGGGGTTTGGGTTTGGTTGTTTTAAAAAGTGCATCCCAAAGGTGGTAGACTGTGGTTAGAAGAGTAGAGACAAAGCAGGAATAGAACTGGAAGTCCTTGAAAGTTATTGCCTTGGTGGTTAGATGCCCTGCCTCTAACCGTTGAATGCCATTGAAAGCATGAGACCACAAAGCCTCAGATACTAACCTGAATAAATATTAGTCAGAAGCCTCCACCTTGTTAGCAGTCAGGCAGTGGCTGCTTGTCTTGCTGGGCCTAACTCTGCACCTTCCTTCTTTGACAGATGGGGAGCTCTCCATATCCAATGAAGATGACTCCCTGGACAGTGGACAGTCCCTGAGCTCCAGCCAGCTGTCCCTGCCTGCACTGTCCGAGATGGAGCCAGTCCCGATGCCCAGGGATCCCTGCTCGTACGAGGTGCTCCAACCTTCAGACATCATGGATGGGACAGGTAATACCCTGGTAGAGTTGAGTGGGTCTGCACAATGTGGCATCAGGGACTTTACACCCACCTGGGCCTGTGGGTCTATTTTGGACCATCCTGAGCATCAAGATTTGGAGATGTGGATAAAACTGACCAGCGAGAACATACTGACTGTAAAAACATAACAAGGATGTGTATTATCTATAAGAACATTTCTCAACAACATCATTCTTTTGTTTTAGCATCAATTTTCCCATGTATTGGTATATTTTTTAAATTTTAATAACGTTGATCTCTTTAAAGAAGGCACACCTTATTTGTACTACTTTGATGATTTAAAATGCCATTTTAAAATTTTTCTAACACTCATTTTGGTTAAGATAGAACTAAATAATTTTACACTTGTATATGTTACCTGTCTGATTTGCCTGGTAAAAGTCCCAAGGAAGCCCTTTAATCCTGGTCCCACTATACCAGCAGTAATTACTGGACAATTTAGACTCTACCCAGAGATGATTTTTGATGGCAGTTGACTATTCCAAAGTTGTCTGAGTGGCCAATACACCTTTCTCAGGTTTGCAGGTTGTCCTGATTAGCATGAAAATGGGTATTTCCCTGCAGCCAGGGAAGAATGGTAGCCAATGTTAGAAAATGGGACTTCTTGGAGTATCTAGTATATAGGTAGCAATGCCATACCCTTTCCCCAACCATGCAGAAAATCCACGTCAGCAGGAGGAAGGGAAAGAGGAGGGTTTTGCAAAGTTAATTCTGACACTTCATTTTGGGACCCTGTGAGTCATTGTTCCATCAGCATGTCAGACACTGGTAATAATAGTGCTTCTTGAGACAGGGGGAGAATTTAGTGCTCATGAGGATTGTCAAGCTTTTGTGCGACCCAGATTAGAGAGGAAGACAAGGGCAGGAAAGGGAGGAGTCACTTAAAGACATTCCCACTGCTGCCTTGGTAAAGGCAGGAGGGTGTGCAATTGAGTTGGATTCTTCTCTAGGAGGTTTTTCCAGTTAGAGCGGTAAATTATTTTTCAGTCCAGCCTTCCCCATGCCTTTGCAGTGTGTTGGATTTGAGTGTTGTAGTGAAATCTGTCGTCATCCATTGAAGTTGCAGAGTTTGACTGTGTCATAGGTCCAGGCTGAGCACAGTAGTCAGGTATTTGCTAACTCCCCCATGCCATCTCTTACTGGAGCCAGCCACAGGTGCGCTGTGGGGAAAGAGAGTCGGGCTCAATGCAGAGCAAATAGAAATGGGGAGAAACAAGGCAGGACAAGGAAACCACAATTCTGGGAAGTGAGAAGCAAGTGTTTTAAAGGGGAAAGTGAAAGATGCTGATTTGAAGCATCCTTTGCCTTTTCAAAGTGTATAGGAGCTGAGAGGGGCACTGGTGTCCCTAAAACAGCAGACTACTGAGTGCTCTGGAACCAGGAGTAGCCACCTGAGGCTTGTGGCGTGCAGCTGTGAGGGTCATTCCTCCCAGAAACCAGCATTACCTGGTGTTCCAGAAGGGCAGAGCCAGACCCAAAGTGAGACCCAAAGCCACTCTCTCTCCCTCCCTAGCAAAGAGCAAATAGGCCCAAACCAAGGTGCCCGGCAAGTGGTTCTGAACCAATTTACAGAGGGCTCTTCATCCTTAATCTGTTTACACTTGTATCCTGTTGATCGTTGCTGGAATCATGAGTCATGTTTTTACCACATTAAAAAAATGTGTGTTACAAACACCGAACTTGACACCGGGATGCTTTTGATGGTTTTGAGCAAATGTCCTCTTTCATCTTCTCTCTCTTGTTCTTTCTACCTCTTCCATTCCCCTCTCCTTTGCCTCCCCCCATGTCCCTCCACCCTACTCTTCATCTCTATTGGATAACTGTAGTGTGCTCTTGTAACTTTCTGCACGTATGTGAGAGCTTGGAGTTGTAGGTGCTGCCAATGGTATTGCTGGCCGGCGTCCCTGTCCTGTGTTCCTGTCCCGGCTGGGCTGGCCGCTGCACTGCCGTTTGTGTAATGTCTCCTGTGTGTCATGTGGTTGTGCCCTCAGTGTCTGAAGAGAGTCCCTCTGCCGGTGAGTCTGGAGTCCTCCTGTCCCAAGATCCTTCAGCCAAACCAGTCCTGCTACTGCCCCCCAAAAAACCTGCTGCTTTCTCTGGAGACCATGAGGAGACCCCAGTGAAGCAGCTGTCCCTTCTCAAGCAACCCCCTGCCCTGCCTCCCAAACCCATTGCCAGGATTGCCAACCACTTAACAGGTGAGTCAGAGCTGAGGTCGTGGGACCCCCTCCTTCCCTTCAAGGGATGATACTTGCGTTTTCTTTGTTATCTGATTGTAACGCTTGTGAGGTTGCTCTGTGGGATATTGGGATGTTTCCCTGTATGTCTTGGTGCATGCATTTGTGAGCTAGATTTGTGTGGTATATGTCATTTGGAAAGCATGTGGTATACATCTAGTCTTTCTATGCTAAGAGTCTTCAACTGTATGTATCTGTAAATTTGCACATTTGTTTTTATGTGACTAATTGAGCACTATTTGCCCACTTCTACTGATTTGATTGAACTTCAAAATCTTTGCAGAGAAAAAGAGGAACACTTGCACCTCTCAAAATGAGTTTGTTAAAGCTTTTAATATTTTTTGCCTTAAAATTATTTACCAAAAAGTCTATGTATTTCTTCAGTTGAAATTCACTTTGGTGCTTTTTGTTCTATTTTTAAAAAATAATAGCAAAAAGAAAACCACAACAGCTACTTGCAAAATATTGTGAGAAATATTTGCTTAAATATTTAGGAACATTGGCCTAAAATGATTTTTCTTTATTTTTCTTTAAGTGTTACTTCATGAATGGACCCATGACTATTAAATTTAGCAGTTGGTGAAATTCCATTTTGTTACATTTGCACATGAATAAAATATCTCCATGTGATTGAAGGTTGTGGTATAATCAGAGATTCAGAGCCTCCTCAGAGTTGTTTCTCCAGCATGAATTGTAGTCCCACTGATATTGATAGACGGCCTGCCTTTTTATACTGGTTGGTGTTTTTACAAACAGTATACATATGGGTATTTGTAGCTTAATGTTCCTTCAGGTAACAGCCAGGTACATATATATCTGTGTGTGGTGTTTTTTAAAAAAGGGAAAGATGTTCTCCTTTTATTTATTATTTCCCCTAATGGTGTGGAAGAGTCCGTTGAGTCGCTGTAAGATAAGGAACCTCAAGGTCAGCAGTTCAAACTCACCAGCCGTTCCTTGGAAACCCTGTACAGGGTCGCTATGAGTTGGACCCTACTCAACAGCACTTAGCAACAACAGTAATAGTGAGGTGCTATAGGATAAGCGCTGGACCTTGCAGTTGCAAGGTCAGCAGTTCAAACCCACCAGCCGCTCCTCAAAAACCCTATACAGGGTCGCTATGATTCAGTACCACACCATGGCACTTACATTAATAGTTTTCAAGATCTCAGACCCTCAGAGTGAAGGTAGGGGTTACTTAACACCCACAACATGCTCTGTGCAATAGGATGTCTGAGATTTGGACATTGTGTAAACACCATATTATATATGAAAGGGCTTCAGAAAGTTCACGAGAAAAATGCATTGTTTTCATTCCGTTTTTCCACCAAGCGTCAGGGTTCCACGGCACAGCCCGGTACCCTCAGTGCCTCTCCCTCCACATCCTCCTTCTCTTTCTCCTGGCTCCATTGGCCTGTCCCCCAGCCAAGCCGACTTCCTCTGCTCGCGCCTCGGGGACCTCTGGCGGCTGGGCCTGAGTGCTTCAAGGCTACACATAACCAGGAAGCAACCTCACCAACAGGGCAGCCGCACCCACCCGTACCGAGTCCTCTTGGTGAATCCTCCACACACTCTGCCCACCGACCCACCCGCACCCCCACTCTGTGCTCGGAAGGCACAAAGTCGCCGATCTAGCTGTTGGCGCTGTCCGTCCGTGCTTGGCCCAGCCATACATCCAGCAAGGCTGGCCTGCTGTAGCCAGTGGTTACCACTCTAAGCTCTTAGGCTTTGTCCAGTGAGCTCCATAAGGTTTTAATAAAATAAGTCTTACGAGGATTTAAGGGAGCCCCTGGTGATGCAGTGGGTTAGTCACTGGGCTGCTAAGCACAGTCTACGGTACAAATCCAACAGCTGAGCCAAAGGAAAATGATGAGACTTTCTGCTCCCTAAAGATTTACAGCCTTAGAAACCCTATGGGGTACTTCCACTCTCTTCTCTCCTATAAGTTGGCTATGTGTCAAAACCAACTTGAGGCTAGTGGGCTGGGTTTGGATTTTGATACAGGAAGTTGGCTGCCAATTGTACAGAACTGCTTGTACACAGAGGCTTGAAAACGTTGGTTGAAAAATGGAACGAAAACAATGGAATTTTCTCGTGAACTTTCTGAAGCCCTTTCATGTACAATACAGTGCTTACACGATGTCCAAATCTCAGGCATCCTATTGCACAGAGCATGTTGTGGGTGCTAAGTAACACATACCTATATAATTGACTGCTATAACATATTTATAAGGTGTAATGAGGGTGGAGCACTTCAAACCTACCAGTTACTCCTAGGGAGAAAGGTGAGACTTCTGCTCCCACAAAAGATTCACAACCTCAGAAACTCTGTACAGGGTCGCTATGAGTTGGAACCAACTCCTGGCACTCAACAATGAGAGTGGAGACAGAGAAGACTATTCACCTATTTTTTAGATAGAAAAACTGAGACTCAGGAAAATTGTCTTTTCTAAGGCTGACAGGATTTTTGCAGCAGAGCCAAGATGAGGCTCCTTACTTCCCAACTCCTACTTTAGTGAATAGGAGCTCTGGTAGCATAGTGGTTACGAATCGGGCTGTGAACCGCAAGGTCAGCAATTTGAAGCTACCAACTATTCGCAGGAGAAAGATGAGGCTTTCTGCTCCTGTAAAGATTTACAGCCTTGGAAACCCTGTGCAGGGTCACTATGAGTCAGAACTGACTCCACAGCACATAAACACCACCACTACCACTTTAGTGAACATTGTTTCCATAAT